CTCACCGCGTTAGTGAATGATGAACACAATTGCAGCTTTGTGATCAAAAAGATAACTTCAAGTTGACAAGCCCTTTTCCATTTCATACCTCCAACTATATATATATATATATATATATATATATGCAACTTTTGATCTGAATACCTACTTGCACTCTCACTTTATTCCTTTTCCTTTTTCTGTGTTGGATCTTGTCCTCAGCGAATGGCTTAGTTAATCGATCTTGAAAATTTGTATCATGCACAGAAAGAAAAAATATTTCATTCTTTGCAATTTACATAATATTGCCACATCAATGATCGTTCCTGCGAACAAGATATCACATGACACAGCTCAGCAAATACCATCGGCAATATTGACGTACGGTCATACTTTTGATAATGCTAACAAACCGAAAAAATATACTTATCAAACTTTTGTTATATATCCTCTAGAAATTCTTATGTTATTTCATCGTATTTTCTTTGAGCTTTTTATATATACTTTCTGATACATATATGTGTAGATATGATAGAAAGAAGCAACTTTGCCACGATCCAGTCGAGGTCACTGTCACAATTAACAAAGCGCATAGATTATTAACATTAGAACATCATGGTTTGCTTCATATACTTAACCCCCTTCAACCTCTTGCTCTAGTTTAATGATTGTGTGTATGTAACTGATTTTTTCTTGAGGGTTTATTGATTGAAGGCGAGTGGCTAGACATTTTGATTCCTAGATTATTTTGAATATTTGTATGGATTGAATGCTATTTTTTCTTTATATTTTTTTTATAGAGAGTTAGGTTAAACATAGAATATTGGTGTGTGCTCAATTATGCAAAGAACTTGAAACTTGTCCGTTTGTTATTAGGAAGATGGATAGGAGCAGAGGGAAGGAAAAAATTTAATGAATTCGATTTAAAAAACTATAGAGTTAAAAGTTTTTAATTATTTCTTCTTAACTCTTTTATCTTATATCTTCTTTTCATCAAAATTTTATAACTCCAGTTCTTCAATTTTTCAAATTGAGTTCATTAAAATTTTCCTTCTCCTCCCCTCTCTTCCCATTCTCTCGTTCCAAGCATAGGATTAGCAAATGGCTTGAATTGCTAATGAGAGTTTAACTAATTGATTACAATACTGAGAAATCTACTGAACCAACCATGTATTCGAAGATTCGATGGAGCAAAAAATTTATAGGCAAATTATATTCTTAATTGGTAACCCACCATTAAAACATCCGATTTTTATGCTTTCTTTCACTTGCATTTCTAGTAGTTAACCATATTTTTGAGTTGCTCACTTAAATTGAAGATATATAATGTCTAGTGCTTGACTCCTTTTTTGCACAGATTTCTGTGAGAATGATGCTTTTCTCATCATTTTACTACCTGTAATGACCTGTGCTCTTCCTAAGCGGATAGTTTTAAATACAAATTAATTTAATAACAAATAATTCTTAATTAATTAACCATTTCTAGAGAGTATATATACATACACACACGCGAAGAAGACGTCAATGTGTCGTCCTTGTATTTCTTTGTTTATAAAAGGAGAGCCGACAAAACACAAACATGTCCACAACCATTCCTAGCGGTTGATGAAGAACGGTCTCATTTTGGCCATTTGATGTGAGTGTCTCTCTCTTTGACGGTCTTCATAATCAACCTCGTCTTTTCCTTCTTGGGATGATGCTTTTGGTCATACAAATGTTATATAAAGATATATAATGATTTATATATATATATATATATATATATCGATTATGGGAGGGATCCACGTCATTTATCTTTTCAAAGAATTCAAAAAAGAAAAGGAAGACCAATTTAATTATATATAATTTTCTATATATTATGTGAAATGAATGTGTGATTATGGACTGTTAATCACAATTCGTGACGTACGGATGCGTGCACCACCGAAGTTGGAGTAAAATATTTTTGTTTCATTCATATATTTTTCAACTTTTTTAATTCCTACAAACAAATTAAATGCCCAAAAACTCTCTCAAATCTAGTAACTCTTTTCATGTCCATATAAATATAAATATATATATATATGTATGTATGTATACATGTATATCATCGTAATTAATGTGTGCCTCTGGTTTCTAAAGATCCCGGACTTCAAGTTTGATAGAGTTCTGTAACAATTTCACCAGACAAATTCTTAGAACTTGTTTTCTTTCTTTATGCGTGTGTATGTATATCAGCTATAAAATACTCCCTCCATTTCTTATTATAAGATCTTAATAACCAAATTGTGTGATTTAAGAAAACTACTAAAACTAGTTAAAAGTAATAAATATATAGAAAATATATGTTTTTTTTCAAATATGTCTTTATTTGTAAATAATGATAAAATGAGTGAGAGTAATAATGATAAAATGATAAAAGATAATGTATGAGAAAAATGAACTTGGAGTAAAATTGATTAAAATACAGAACCTTAAAAAAAGGGACGAAAAAATTTGAATCTTATAACATTACCAAGAAAATTAGGTTAATTTAGTTGGAAATGTAGGTGCACAGAATTTTTTACCAATAATACCCTCAAGAAAATTGATTAAAGTAGTCCACTTATGAATGGTTATGTTTCTAAAGAATGTTTCCATCCTCTTCTTAGTGAGAATACAAGAGGAAACAAAATAATAATAAATACTTCACATCAAAGCAAATTGTTTCTTATATGAGTTGGAAACTTGCGACTCCAAACACTTTTCGTAAGACTTTTTTAAGCATGAGATTGGGAGGTTGAACCCTTTGCGAAAAGTATAATGGCGTGTGAATTATGGCAAAAAATTGTTTCTTAATTATAATAAAGGACAAAATTATACTCCCATTTATTTCTTATAAAAAGAAACGGATATACATATGCATATGAGTCATAAATAATCTATTATGGGTCTGTTTGTTGAAGTACAAAGGATGAGTCATAAATAATCTGGTGGGTTTTTTTTTTTGAAGAGGCACAAAGGGAAACATTTCAATTGACTGATTGGATACAGTGTTAAACTAATTAAAGAGTTTAATCAGCACAAGAATCAATGTTTCCTTAGGTTTCAAATCTCACTGACCATACGGCAACAGAACGTAGTTTCTTGGTTCATTACGTGTCTGTGATTTGCAGACAAAGCTGGCCGCAATCATAGCCGAGCCCAAGATTATGATCCTCCAATCATGGTTTTCTATTAATTTATTAAACCCTAATCCGAGACAGTGGGATTATAAATAACAAAACTTGTTTAATTAGCATAACAGCGATCCCTTTTAATTTTGTCTGCTACGCCACTATATCATTTTTTTAAATATTCCATCACCCATGTGCGCTCGGTCAAGTCAACAAATTTGCAGAATAAAATGTTACAACGTACGTTAACGCTTTCAGGCTGTCACTATCAAATTGATGTGCAAAACCTAGTCATATTCATCGAATAGTTGTCTGGTTTTGTAATGGACTAGTTCTTCAGCAACATACTACTGACAGATTTTTTTTCCCATTAAATTATTGTTTATTTTATAAAAAGCTTAATTCACTGCCTGTTTAGTAGGCTCATAGGCTTTGATTGAGCCACTTTAGATTCCACCATGATGTTTGATTAGGTTGGACTTCTCATATTATCTCCCTATTTTAGACTATTAGCGACAAAAGTGCTTTAATTTTCATTTCTCTTCCCTCTCAAAAGGTAATTTTCTAATACCAAACGTAAATTCAACATCTTTTAGATATATATATTCCTTTAGTCTTTAATATAAGACCTAATTGTTAAGTTAATTTTGGTTCTAAATATAAGACCTATTTCTCATATTTATCAATTTTTCCTAAATTATCCCTATAGATACTCTATCAACCATAATCAAGTAAGCGAGGGAGGGAGGATATTTAATAAAGATGATTATGGTGTTTTAGAAAAAACATGTCATATTTTTTATAATTAACTAACTTACCTAACTTCCTTAATCTAATCAAATTAGTTAAATAGGTCTTATATTAAGAATCAGGGGAGTATATATCATTGCATTTGATAAGATTATTTGAAATATCAGCATACCAGATGCTCTATGACTGTTAGGTATTCATTGCTTTATACATGTTGGGTAAGCATGGGATGAATGTATATGAAACCTTCAGGTTAAAGATGGAATAAAACCAAAATGATTACCTTTATAGTACTTATATATGTGCACAAACTATGGCAGACAGATATATATTGGCTTATGTGAAGTAGCGGTCACAAAAGTTTTTATCAATTGAATCTGAGCCACTGATCTTGTAACTTAGGGATCATTGTCCAATGGGATCTTGACAGAAAGGTAAGCCTCAAGACAAAAAGTTAAAAATGGTCTCTAATCAAGTTCAGCTTTTGGACTAGTCAAGGTGACTTAGCTTGAGCATTCTGTAATACTAAAATTAGAAGTCTGATAGGACGTTGCACATATGGCTTTCAATTACTCTCATCTCTAATCAAGGGTGTGACAGATTGGAATATATAATGGGATAGGACTTTCTGATTAGATGCTTCAATTTCAAACATTCACTTAATGGCGAAGAAAAAACAATGCAAGGATAGAATATAAGTGAACCTGATTAATAATGGCCTTAGTGGGGTTTAGGATATTACTAGCTGTTTAGTATACTAAGTATCCATAACATGATTGTTTTTTTAAAAAAATTTTTGCCATGGACCGACAAAGGATCCTAACTCTGCCATTAATGAAGGCGACAACCTCTTTGATTCCCCACTGATCTTGCAGATATATGTCCCTCTATCTCTCACTCCTGTACGATCCTCTTTTTCACTAAATAATACTACACTAGTTTGTGTTTGCAGGAAACAGTGAACGTCTCTCTGAGCTTTCTAATTTACATTTTCTTTTTTTCGAGAAAAAAGAGAGACTCTCTCTCTCACCTCATTTCGCAGCCTATATCTTTTCCTCTCTACTGCGTTCTCTTGCACATCCACTAAGCAGCTAGCTCGGTGTCTTGTTTCTTTTTCTCTCTGTCATTGACATAGCCATGAGCTTCTTCCGTTCTTCTTCTAACACTTCTTTTCATCATCATCCTTCAGATGAAATCGATAACCTTAACCTAGATCTTCTCCTTGAGCTTTCTTCATCTTCTTCTAATTCATCTTCTCCTCCAGCTAATTACAGTATGGAGCCTCGGGTTTTCTCGTGCAACTATTGCCAGAGAAAGTTCTACAGCTCACAAGCTCTGGGAGGTCACCAGAATGCCCACAAGCTGGAGAGGACACTGGCTAAGAAGAGCAGAGAGCTCAGTTCAATGCAGAATTTTGGGCCCTCTGGTCACAGGTCTAGCACTAGCAGCTTCAATAATGGCTCGAACCATCTTGCGCCTGGGGTGGCCTCGCTAAGCCATGGCCAAGCTGGTGGGGTTAGGTATGAAAGAAGAGAGTTTAGCTATGGTGGTTCCAACCCCGCCAGGTCTTCTGGTTATGTTTTGTCCGAAAGTAATGCTGAGCAGGAAGATATGGGTCAACTTGACTTGTCTTTAAGGCTTTAGATTCAGCAGATTTGAATTTAGAGCTACATGATCTGATTAAAGCAGCAGGAGCAGCCTTTGGTTTTTAAAATTAAAGTGAGCTTTATCCGTATGTAGCGGAAAAACGAGAAAGCTGGGGAAATTTTTGCTCACTATGTAAAAATAACTGTTTCTTCTGAGTAATTAATGATTCTGCTGAACAACTGTGATGATGGAAAAGGGTTAAGCAACGTGCGAGTTCATAATTAAAACACATTGAACAGGGAGGAAACTGACGATCATATGCTTTCGTCCAAGCAATTTGAAGTAATAAAAGTACTTTCAATTAGGGTATATTAATTGATGGCTGCGCTACCATTTTTATTATCGTTAATTATAACTTGTCTGCTTTTTAGCATGGACACACACACACATTTGAAAGATGTTTGATATAATGAAACGAAACAATAGAATGAGAAAGAGATCCCATACATGCATAGCAGGCACAGTGCAAAGAAAAGGCTGCTGATCCATTAGGAAGTGTCTTAGATTACCAGTTCCGAAAATAGTTTTATGTCATTGCTATATACAGTTGAAAGTGGGACAAGGAATAAGGAGGTTAAAACCTAAAACTTAGCTCACTGTTGTATGCTCGTGGAGTCTATTATTTCGTATCGATCTATCTGTTTCCCTTTACTTTTGGAATTATTAGTCTTCCATATGAAGCCATTACCCTTTTATAGGGTACTAACGGATGGGAGTGATTTGTTCAATTAATGGTAGTGTGGAAGTTAATTAATTTGCATATAATATAATTATGCAGCAACTACATACATCTAGCCAAAGAAAGTCGACCTTACTGAGTAGCACTGAAGTGTTTATATTTAGAGAAACTGAAATCTGAATGGTTAGAGAGAGAGAAAGAGAGAGAGCTAACTTTAAGGCTATACCTATAATTTAGGAAAAATCCCAGAAAAAGCCTTTGGAATATAGAAAATTTCAGATTGGGTCCTAAAATTGTGTAAATGAATCAATCTGTCATTTGTAAAATCAAGAAGAATTGACAACTTTGCCCTGACTAAGCAAAAGTGAGTAGTTATTTTCTAAATAAATCTAGGCAACGCTTACACTGTTCTAGTGATTACATGATTAGTTATAGTTAATAACAAAGTACCTGACTATGAAAAAGTGAGTAGTTATTTTCTACACGAATCTAAGTAACGCTTATACTGTTCTAGTGATTACATGATTAGTTGTAGTTAATAACAAGGCACATGACTACAAAAAAGTAAGTAGTTATTTTCTACACGAATCTAGGTAATGCCTAAACCCTTATGGTGATTCCTTAAATCATTGTAGTGAAGGAATACAAATGAGGACAAAGTTGTTAATTCTTCTTGATTTTACAAATGACAAATTGGGTCATTGACCCTTTTTGTCATTTACACAATTTCAGGACCCAATCCAGAATTTTCTATATTCGAAGGACTTTTTTTTTGAAATTTTCCCTATAATTTATATTAGATCTGTCTCTCACTCTTTTATCTCGCAACTTGAAATCTACCTGTTATATCATGATCGTTACCCTTGCTCGTTACAGCAACTACCCAGAAACTATGTCTTGTAAATTTCAAATAATGTGTACATGGTTTTTGATTGAATACAACATTTTTCTTATAATTCTAAATTTCATTCCATACGTAGAACCATCAAGTCAATCAATTACTATAATAAAGACATTAAATCCGATGGTGATTTATAGTGTGATTATTAACCTTAAAGAATTAAAGAGTTCAAGGGATGCAAGGATAATGTGATCATAAGTAATATATGAAACTAACAAAGGGCCAATTTATAGTTAATAGATTGTTATTAGGTCTTGTAAACAGGTTGTTAGAGTTTTGATCCCTAATTACGTGTATGGAAACGACCTTGTTCGAAAAAGGAGCAAAACCTGCTTGTACGATCTCTAAGTATCGCTAAGGACTGGTTTAAGTGATATTTTTGTTATACAAAAAAGGGAAAAAAACAATATATATATAAAAGGACAATAATATTAGTACTAGTGTTAAAACACTGTGAATCATTTGACCTTTTTGTTAAATGCCATATAAGAAAGAGAATATTGAAATGATTTTGTAAGAGATAAGATGAGATGAGATTAAGAGATAAAAGAACACTTAGAGTTAAGCAAAATGATTAAATTATAATGAAACTATAGTTTTTTTTTAAAAAAAGTAGAAATTGAAACAAACAAAATGACTCAAATTGTAATTTTGCCTTAACAAAAATGCACGTACTGATATCAAATGTGTAAAGGTAAATATAATCGGACAAGGATTGTTGGCACTTTGAACAGTACGCCTGATGTGGGTTAGATATGGTCGGCCATGATTATAAATTTCAACTTAGATGTAATGTTAGTTTTTTCTTCAGAAAAAAAAATAAAGTGATGACATAAAACTTAAAATGTTTAAACTTTCTAAAATGCACGTTAATTATCATTTCAATATTATAATTAGGGGGAAACTCATTTAAGACATACAATGGTTTAACTTGGCGTACGTATATGGATTATTAATTATTATGGGACTCTTCAAGGTTGCAATCATGAGTTGCTGATCTGAGTTGTTGTTGAAGATGATGAAGACTAAGAATGTTATGGTCCATGGGACTAAAAAAGTCTTTATGTCCTGAAAAAATTTTCATTATGTGTGGGACATATAAATAATGTGGATATGTGAATAATCAACCACTTATATGATGATTATATTGAGTTAAAGCTAGAGGTGGAGCTTTATTTGAAATTCTTCTTTTTTATTGGTTTGGCTATAAAGACACAAGATTTTCACTGTCATTCTTGTTTTAGCCAAGGCAACATGTTCAAGTCCCTTGTTTGGAGTCTTTAACAGTCACTTTCAACTCAGAGTTTCAAAGCCACAAATAATATTCTTTTTTTTCCAACAACAAATAATATTCATCTATATATCTTTGAAAAGTTTACATCCAAACATTAAAGGTAATATAATTATTTATTCCCATAAAAAAATTCAATTTTTTGTTTAATTATGTTTTTGAAGATATTATATTTTCACCGTTTTTTGCTAGGAGTATATTATTATTATTATTATGAAAAATATTGAATTTATATTATTTTCTTTTCCCTTGTGACAGAATTAAGTATACATTTTTGAAAAACTCACTGCCTATACGCACCTATGAGGCTATAACTTAATCAAGAAGGTGTGAATAATTAATCCCTTCTTTTCCACGATGTCCTAGATTATAATCCAGGACTTGGTAAATTCTTATATCCTGATTGATACTAAACGCTTTACTTAAAACTTTTAAGCATGAGATCATGAGTTCAAACCATCAATGAAAAAATATGATGAATGCATGAGTCATGGCAAAAAAAAAAAATTATAATTTAAGATTTATACAAAGTACTTATTCAATTGATAAGCCCCACTTGTATAAATAGGCTCGGCTTATTCTAATCCCGTAAGGATGAACTTCTCATCAAAGCTATGTATTATGGCAAATGAAATCATTTATAAATATTTATAAAAAGTACAATCTAGTTTATCAGAATTCATATGAGGGATGACGAAGACATGTGTAGAATTATCTCATGGTTACACTACTACGAAAAAGATATTGAACAGCGGTTAAATGAGTTTTTCACAGCGGTTTTAAGAGCGACATCTATGCTATTGATGTAAAATATAAAGGATTTCACGACGGTTGAAGAACCATTGTGGTATGTGACTTTTAACGGCGGTTATATGAATAACTGTTGTGAAAAGTTTTTTTTTTTTTAGTTTACTTTCATCATATTGATCAGGATGGAACGGAAGAACAAAGCCCTAAAAGAAAGGGTTTGAGAATTAATTAACCAATGACCTCTGACTAGTTAAAAGCATTCTAATGAAGCAAATGTAGATTCTTTTCTGTCGTAATAGTGCCATTTTGCGTTGCCTTCTACCACCAGATTGAAGCTCAGATCTGATAAAATTCGTGAATCTCAGGTTGTCAAACCACAAAAACTATGAAACCTATAGAAAGAATGGAGGAGAAAGGGTGAAAAACTCACAAATAAAAATGAAGAGGATAAGGCAACGGCAATGGCAACAATGACAGCGACGACGACAACGACAGTGACGATGATGGAAGAACATGACAGAGATGATAGAAGCAAAGGATAAAAGCCAGCAAAAGTAGGAGGAGGGAGAAAATCAAGTGAGGAGGTAATGGAGTACTATAAGCTCTGACTCTGAAAAGTGAAAACTATCACGCGATGGATAGGGTTTTAAAATTCTGATCGACTTTTTAAGAAGGTTATTTAAAAAACTGCTGTGAAAAGTATTTTTTTTACGACAGTTATTTAAATAACCGTCGTGAAAAGTATTTTTAATGGAGGGTTAAAAGTAAAATTTACTTCCCTATAATTACAAAAATACCACCTCATGTTTTTTGCAGTGTTTTTTCTAATAACCGTCGTAAATTAGTATCGTAGAAGCTTTTTTTGTAGTAGTGTTAAAACATAGAAGTATACATGACTCATTGCTGCCATAAGTCAATGCTATTATTGAGAAAAGGATACAGAGATCGTTGTGCATTAACTATATCACTCTTTAAAATTGCAATTCAACAAGTCCAGACGGTAATTAAATTTTCTGTTTAATTTGGTAAAGTTATTATATATTCATCAAGCAACTTGGCTTAATATCTTGATCTTGCTCACATTTCTGAAGCACCGGTTAGCTAGTAATTAGCACTAGCTAAGAATTTTTATGCTTAAGCCCATTTAACAATACAATGAAAGTGTTTGGGTGAAAACCAAACTATAATTCTAAAAGTAATTTCATGATATACGAAGTAAGTATGTGAGATAGAATTTGTCTCAATTTGTGTAAAAGCACTTTTTAAAAGTGTTTTATCACAAATCAAACGCCCCCTAAACTGTCATTATTCATTGTGTTATTTATTAATCCCATCTTTAATGTAAAAGTTTTTCTTTTTTGCCAAATAGTGTAAGAGCTGGGAAGATTAAAAAGGTTAAATGGATCACCTAGTTCCAGCAAATGTGATATATTTTTTCTAAAATATTTTTACGTAATATTAGAGTATATATTAGTTTATAAATTAAATAAATTAATTTTAAAAATAAATACAAGAAATAAAATGAATTGAAATATTATATTTATAATCAAAACCAACTTCCTGACTAGCTTATGGGAGTATTTTTTTTATATACAATAAGTCTATGAACAAGAAGCAAAAGAAAATAAGGGAAAGATATGCAAATTTTTAATCAGTGTGATTTATCAATAAGTTGACCCCTCTTCTCAAACATTTAAAACAGAGTGCAAGCTTATGTTCTGAAACATAGTTGAATTTAATTACATATAATGCAACTGTATAGTGGTTGACATTGATATTGCAAACATTTAATTTTGACCATGGTTATAACATGTATGTTCTGTCGAAACTCATAAAAATGAGCCGTCAAAGACACCGTACTTTGAGCACTTGAGGTCTAATCATCGAATGCTTGATACAAATGGAGTATGGCACATCAATTCGTGGATTGCCCTTAAAACATGGGATATGGACTCCAAGTTTTCATTTTTCTTTTCAATATTATATTAGTGCTGTATAATATTTCTTATGCTTTAAGATTTAGAAAAAATCTCACAAAAAGAATTGGAAAATTACTAAATCTTCAATCGGGAATTCTTGTAAAAACGTGTTGTTATTTATAAGTCAAATATAGTCAAAACCTGTTAAAGTATGTTAGGAAACAACCTTGATTTGGAATTTAATAATTTCCAGCATGCATGTTCTTTTTATAAAACTTTTCCTAAAATTCATATTATATGTGATTTTGAATACTACCTCCAGTTCTAATTATACGAGGTCTTATTATTAGGACTGAAAGTAGTAATCTTGATCTCCTCATAACTAAATCCTGCCCCTGCTCAAATAATTGTTTCTCTTGTTTGCCGGTAAACTTCACATTACATTGATGTGCAATGTTGACCGTCAATCTGATACCTAAAAGGTAACTTTATCATTGATTTCCATAATTATTGGAAAAAAGACATAATATCCTATTTAATTAAGTGTTCATATTCTACTGAGCTAATATCCTATTTAATTAATTCATATTCTACTGGGCTATTAAGCTTTAGTCATGGTATAAATTAATACTAATTCTCATACTAATAAAAGACTACACGTATGACTTCCTTCAATACTAGAAATTTATAAAGCACCCTATATGTTTCTTGAATGATATTGTTTAGGGTAGAAATGATACTCATTGATGCTTACCTTTATTTTATGTTTTCCCTCAATATTCAGATTAAAATGTCTTTGAGGTTACTGAGAAAAGAAGAGAGATAGACACTAAACTGTTGGCTCTGTTTATAATAATACAAATCCTATAAAAATAGGAGTTATCATTTTGTGCCTATTCTCTCTATATTTTAAGTGAGATATATTTAAGGTGATTTAAATCTTACTCAGACTACAACCCAATTCATAACGTGTAAAGTCACTTCAATTTAAAGTAGGTTTCAACATGCTCATCAACATCCCATTTAATGCGCAAACTGGCTTCGGTACCCATCATCAAAAGGTGATAAGTGCTGAACTGTTCAAATCTAATTTAGGCGATCCTATTATTTTAAAAAAGTAAATTTAGTTTAATGTATATTTGATATTTGGGCAACAAGACGAGACAGTATGGAACTCATGTGGCCGTTTACTTTCATGACTACGACTATTTTCTGAAAAAATAAAGATCTAGAAGGTAAATTTGAAAAAAAAAACCTAGATAAACTTTAAGAATAAAACAAATAATTTTTCCCACAAATAAAATTATCTCATCAACGTATACATCAATATGCTTCAGGATTAATTAATTACTCTAACTTAACATTTAAAAAAAATTGTTTATAATATCTCAATTCTCAACTTGATGGAGGAGAGGAGACTGATTCTAAATTTCTAATTTGAATGGAACACGCAAGAGAACAATAAGACCCGAACCTACATCCTTTTGCTTTCACAGATTAATTTGGGGTCGGAACGCTATATAGCCATTAAAGTAATTTCCAGTTTGATTATTAGTACTCTGTCATTTTCATAATTTAGTTTGCATCAACCCTTCATAATTCTGCTTTGGTTAAGAGCTTCTTTTTTTGTGTATTTCGTTATCTTAATTAGGATAGCCAAAGGCAATAATTATTCCATTTAATTAACATAATGTTAATTAAAAAAATTATGTTGCCAATAACTTTTATCCCTATATATATACTACCTCAGGACCTTAATATAAAAACTAGTTGACCAATTTGAGTATGTTAAGAAAACTAGTTAAGTTAGTTATTTATAATAAATATGTATTATCTTCCTAAAATGTTCTTACTAATCAAGTATATTGACTAGAACTATTATTATTACAAGGACTACTTTGAGAAAAAATAAATAAATACGAGAAACAAAGTATATTTGGGTCTTATATTTAGAACCAAAATAAAAGTTAAACAAAATCTTATATTAAGGACCAAAGGTAGAGAAATTAAAAGTATATTTGAATGGAAAGAACAGTGCGCAGGTGAAGAGAAATTAAAATTAGAGATAAGAGAAAAAGAGTCCCGTTACAAACGCTTTTTCCCTTTATAAATATAATGAGAGAAAACACTTATAATATCCACTTTTCTTTTCCCTTTTTTAACTTCTCATCAACATTAAAATATTCTTGATTATTTAATTAAAATATATCTTAGTTTTTTGTGGACACATTCAAAACACACTTATGTCTATGGTCCTTAAGATTAAGATGAAAAGCCTCTCTATGGATGTAGAAATACAATAACGTACATGGCTGGCACTTTTTTTTTTTTTGGGACAATAGGGGGGCCATTAATTTTAGATGTTGGGACATGCGTAATCATTTCAGAGATTTATTTTCAACGTTATCACATATTTATTTATACATTTATAAGAATCAGGCAAAAAAAATATACATTTATAAGAAACAAGGTTCAATTTGTTGAAAAAAAAGAAGGAAGAGTTTGATGTGCTGTAAAATGTTGAATGACAAACTCATATTATATCTTGACCCATAACGAATCATTCAATCAAGAGATTATTAAATACAATTGTACAACGATGAAATAACATCATATCAGAAATAAGATTTTATATTCAAATTTTAAAAATAGCAAATAATATTAGAGGCTAGTTATTGACCATAAAGTTTATAAATTAAAAACAAAATTCATTTTCCTCTTTTTGTGTCAAATGGCCTTTTATTGGAGAATGAGATCAATGGCCCAATGACCCTGTGTTAAAAATTGGAGCTGGGCTTACATTTAGGCCGTTCAGATTGAGTCTTTACAAATTTGTGTTTAAAAGCTTAGCGGAAAAAAAAAAATTGTGATTAAAGAAGAAACAGGATTCTGAGATGATAATGATCCGTTGGGAGATATAGTTCATGATTTTAAATATGGGTAAATTTTTTCAAAAAATATTTTTCAAATAAATTTAATAATTCAATCACCCCCTGCTTATTTAGAAATGAGTTCCTACAATAGAAATTAAAATAGAAAGAAATACGTGCATGTACTCCTTTGATCCTGTTTATAAGTCACTTCAAACATGTTTCACACAGACCAAGAAAAGTCTTAAACTTTATTAAGTCTTATTTAAAATTCAATAACTTTTTAACTTTATCCTTATTTAATATACATTATACCTTATGTAAATAAAGTCAATACAATAATAAATAAAGGATAAAATTATACATATATAAAAAAAAATTTCTTAATGCCCTGTAAATGGGACAAAAAATATCTTCTTTTCCAGCTTTAGACATAGAACCAGAGAAGTATGTTTGAAGTTGACATAGTTTCAACGCCTTTAATGCAATTAGTTGCGGAGTTGGCGTCTTAAAGAGCTTAAATACCATGCACAATAATAGTAACACATCAAACCAAAAACATCGAGATGAACATAAATGCAGTCACATCGAGTGAATTTAATTATTTATTTATAAGAAAATTTTAATGAGATACTATATAGATTATTGGTCAAGTATAAACTAGTGTTAATGATCTTAATTTCTTAATTTTTACATTTTAAAATAAAACATATGACTTGTAAATGGTAAGCTTGCTCATTATTTTCAATAGTACGCAGTGTGCAGCTTGAGGTTGTATAATAAAACATACGCGTAAAATTACATCACTGAAAGCTCTCTCTTTCACTCCCCCTTCATCTCCATGCATCAGCTAACATATATATGCGCGTGTGGATGATCAAAATTACAATAACAATATTCGTTAATTTATCATTTAGTTTCAGGATAGTATAATTAATCACATAGTGGGGCTAATTAAGCAAAAGCTAATTAATTAATTAATGAGGGGCCTTGGATAACTTCAAGCGGAGGAAAGAGGAAGAAGAATAGAGGCGGAACAAGTTGTAGGCAGACACACAAGATATGATGGCCATGATGAATGAAGCAACATAGCCACACAAGAGAGCCACTCCTATCTGAATGCAGAATCTGGTGAATTTATCGCATACTTTCAGCCACTGCAACGCTTTCGCTCCGTTTAACGCTATCGTCGCCGCCTCCATCGCCGCCGTGTTCGACCCGAATGTCACATACACCCCTACCTGCATATATAGTCCACCCATCTCTCTCTATCAATATTTTGTCTTTCTTACGCGTACACAAGCACCGATATGCATGTTAATTTGCAACAGTGATCCTCACTTGTAAGTGAATTTTCATTAACTAAAGTTAACACCATGACGAAGGATCCCAGTGGAGGCAAATACAGAACACTAAGCAATTAAGTTCCTGTTTGAATTAGTTGTGTAAAATTGATTTTGCAAAGTACGAGGTACATACAAAAGATGAGTTTTATCTTGTAAATCATAAAATGAAGAGTATAGCTCATCACAATAGTGAAATCTAAACTACTCATATACAATTTTAATAGTTATATTTAAAAAATTATAGTTAAGAAATTATATTTATTTTAGATTATGTACTTATTAAAGAAATTTTTTTAAAAAAATAAAAATATTAAATATTAAATCTTGATCATCCATATTAAATTTAAATGGTTGATTTTGATGAGTACCAATGATGCCCATCATTACAATAATCATTGAAACTGGTTGCAGCATAAAACGGGTTTTAAGATAATCCAAACAACTTCCGAAATTAATTGTACATGGTTCACTAGCGGTCTTTAATAAGACAAAATAAAACCAAGGACGAGAAAGATACTGACAGCTAAGAATTCGGGACATTATTTGATGGTTGGATAAAATAAAATTATAAAATATAAACATAATTTTATAGTTTGAAACTTTGTTCTTAAAAATAATAAATAATAACGAAAAATAATAGTGTTGAGTAATATATTTATTAAAATTTTAAAAAAATTTAAGAGCGTAATATACCTTCATAATAAAGTAATTTAAATTAAATAAATTAATATTTTCCGTGTCCTATTTTTTTATTTCCTTTTCTTGTTGTATCATAAATGCTTGAAACTTAGACTTTTACACATATCCTACCCGACCTGCATAAGCTAACATCACTTCACCCTACATTTTCTTTCTTTGTCAAAAAATTTTCTGTGTACAGTAATTTGTATTTTCTCTATTTTATCTATAATATTGTATTGTAATATGAAAATAGAAAAATTTCTTTTCCGACTACCAAACACCCCATTAGTGTTGGAGGGCCCAACCCTAAATTGCGAACGGAGTGACCAAAAACACCCTCTAGCCACATATAGTTGGTCTGTAAGTACCTGCAATTTGCTTTCTTTAATGTTAAAAAATAAATGCCATTTAAACCTCTTCCCTTGGTATTTTACCACTTTATCGCCATGGATCTTATCATTTTATACCCCCATAAGAAAGTTATATATGCATGGTATTTTTAAAATTGAACTCTCATAAAATTATCTTCCCCATTAATTGATTCATCACACTTTGGTATTTATCAATTTGATTAAGGGCTAATAAACTGATCATGTATAATATCATTCTATATATATGAGAATAAATTGACAAGACAGTTCTATAAATGAATATGCTTACAAATTAACGTTCCATTTTTGGCGGGACTCAACTAGTTTATTGAAAAAGAAAGATGAGGAAGAGGCTGGTAGAGTAGATCGATGAGTGTGACCAAAAAAAAAAAAACTGGACATACAATTTTGTTTTTAAATTTTTATCATCACTTTGGCAATTTTTGGTAGACGGATCCAATCTAGAAGACTATGGGTTTTCTTGACGGCAAGTTACTACAGTGACAGTGCTATCTACCATAGATGAGGTTCTTTTGAGCTTGAAAGAAATACTGGCGTGTTTGTTTGTGTGAGTGTTTAAATTTGATTTTACTAAAAACATAAAAATAAAAAGAAGATAAGACTCAGGGTTTTAATATACTCTTCCGGTCCTAATTATAAAACCCAATTGACTTATTTGAGGAGATTAAGGAAGTAAGTTAAGTTGGTTATTTATAATAAATAAGTGTTGTCATTCCTAAAATATCCTTGCTAATTAAGTATATTGGCTAAAACTATCATTATTAGAAGGATTATCTTGGAAAAAAATACATAAATATAAGAGACAAAATGGATTGGGATCTTATAATTAGGACCAAATAAAAAATCAAATGGGGTCTTATAATAAGAACCGGAGGAATAATTTATTAACTTCATCACTTCCAACTTTGCCGTCTATCTCCCAAACCAACAATACCATGCCTTTACTTCTTCTTTTTTTCAAAGAGATCAATATATAATAATACGGAGAGTTTAATAGAATTTGCCAGTACCTGATCCAATAAGAAACAAAACCAAGCCAAGTATAGAAGATAGCCATTGGATTTTCCTCCAGAAAAAGCCGGGACCAGGTGTTTGCAAATCTGAAGAAAGTTAAAAACCGCAGCAGCAGAAGTCACGTACACTAATATTCTGCAGAAATATTTAAAACCCACAAAATGAGGAATTAAACAAAGAACTAAACAAAAGAAAAGAAAAACTTGAGGCCATGTAGATATGTGAAAGGAAAACAAATCTATATATATGTGTATGTATGTATGTATCTTACTTGAGAGCTTCCAAGTCCTTGTAAGTGGCCTTCTTGGTGATAGTGTATATAATGACCTTGGTCTGAGAATCAAAGGCAACCAAACAAGCCGTTAAAACCAAGACGAGAATCGCAGAGACTCTGAGATAAATCTCGCTTCTTGCTTCTCTCAGAGCCTCCATCTTCATCTTCTTCTTCTTCTTCTGAAGTTGAACAACGAAGCTTTATTACTTTTCTGGGTTAGTGAGATGAATTTAATGGGATTTGTAAGGGGTTCATGAAATAATGGCGATGGAGACTTCTGGAGGAGAAACATCCACGGATGTGAGGCTGACATTAATTTCTGCCAACAGTAGTGCACCAAACCCTCTTTAATATTTTGTTCGTTGGGTGTCTTTGCTTCGCTGTGATCCTTAATTATATTTTCGGTCACCTCCCCTGCCATATGGATGTATATTCATCTCTTATTATATGTTCTAAGTACTATATACATATAATCAAAATGACTTGTTTTTCATTTTATATTATGATATAGAGTGATTAAAATTATCACGACCCGTAAGTTAGGGAAGCTATCAAACAATTTAGGCTATAGCAAAATTGATTATTAATGTTATTTTTGAGAAAACCATAAATTTCGTGACCTACCATATTATTTTTACTACTATCTCCGGTTCTTAATATAAAACTTCATTTGACTTTTATTTTGATCCTAAATATAAGATTTCAATATATTTTGTCTCTCATATTTACACAATTTTTTTAAGATAGTTCTTCTAATAATTATAGTTTTAACCAACACACTTGATTAGTAAGGATATTTTAGGAAAGACAACACATATTTATTACAAATAACTAATTTATTTCTTTCTTTAATCTCCTCAAATTAGTTAACTAGCTCTTATAATTAGTACCGGAGGTAGTATTAATGAAGGGTAAAACGGAGTATACTAGCATGAGACTTTCTCCATGGAAGGCCGCATTACGCCGGAGACGGTCTCTGTTTTCCGTCGATTTACAATAATATCATATTACAAATATGAGAATATGTACGAGGGCTACATTAATGAAAATGACTCAATAATATTTATTTAAAATACCTCATGTTTAAATTTTGTGAATGAAAAAAAAAATGAAAACCACACCACTTTTGAAATAATATACACAATCTCAAACCAGAGTTCATCAATATTCAATAATTTCAAATAGCATGTAATTTTAAGAAAATTAAATAGAAGGCTAAATTTTAATGAGAAAGAATACATGAGCACGTGAATGAAATATAATAAAATTTTTGGCTTAAAAAAGAAATAAAATAACCTTTTATCATCCAAGAAGAGAAAACATCACACACACACACACACACACATTTAAGGTGATGAAAAATATTTCGAAAACAATTCTCTTACTTTTTTTAAAATAATATTCGTCATTAATATTGATTTGCAATTTATTAACATGAATACGATTGAATTATAATCAATTCCGTAGCAGTTAGACATATTTTTAGACTTTATATGTTGAAAAAATTATATAACATCAAACAAGTATTCTTAATATTACCTCATGTCCTTAATATAAGACCTTATTTGATTTTTATTTTGATCATAAATATAAGATCATAATCTACTTTATCTCTCATATTTATTTATTTTTTTTAAAAGTAGTTCTTGTAATAATAATAGTACTAACCAATATATCTGATTAATTAACTTAACTAATTTTTTTAATCTATTTAAATTAGTCAGTTAGTTTTTATATTAATAGACTAAAAGTAGTGTAAGAGTATGAATAGGAAAAAAAAATTCTTCCCACGATCGTTTTTGTAATTTTAATAAGAAATGAAGAACCATATGGGATACGCGTGGAGTGGAGTGACGGCAGGAGTGGAGTGACGGCAGGGTTATGAGCTTTTGCTTTTACTTTTACATTATGTTTCTGTCAAAAGAGTATTCTACAAAGTGTTCAGATGAAAACCAAACCATGATTTTAGAAGTGATTTTACAGTCTACGAGATAAATATATGAATAAGTTTATCTCGATTTACGAAAAAATACTTTTCAGGGTATCTAAACACCTTTTACATTCAAGTAGTTTTAAAAGGATGACAAAATAGTCAATCCACCCCCGGAACCCCCCCCCCCCCCAAAAAAAAAAACACATCTTAGCTGATCCGCTTGTACTCTCCAGCGAAGAGGGGCTGGGGGCCAACATTTATTTTCAAAAAGCTATAAATTTAACATTTTTTTATTGACTGAATTTCTGAAACAACAAAATTAAACCTGCATATCCGTCCAATTTTACCGCATGTGTTCAAAAAACAAACAATAAAATTAAATCAATGGTCAATGATAAACTAATAGATATTCTACATAGATCATCCATGCGATAAGATTATTTTTGTTTATCTATTCTAACAATACAAAAAAAATAAATATTAAGTTTTAAAAAGTAAATAGCTAGAAGTCACATCTTTGAATAAATTTTTTTCTTTTATCTTTAAAAAAAAGGAAAAAATTTTAAAAATGTAATTTAAACAAGCTTCAATCAATACGATATGATAATATATTTTTGTCAACATATGTTGAGACTTAATTGGAATCAAGAATAATGGCCTCCACATGTCATATTTACTTTAAGAAATTTTGAAACATGGAAAGGAAGAATAAGTTTAAATAATTCATCTCTACTTGTTAAAACTAAAACATACCATGATTATTTTGCTGGTTAAATCAAATGCTTCACTTCTATTACTTAACTAGATGTTATTTTGGATACTTAAAAACTATATTTGGACACCCATAAGGTTTAGGATTGAGAGGGTGACACTAAAGTGTCAAAATTAATTAATAATAATTAAGTATGGATAAAATTTTCTGAAAAATGAGTTGTAAGTGTTAATTTAAAAATTGTAATTTAAAAAAAATGCAAATTTCAAATGTAACTTTCAGTGAGTCATTCCTATTTACCACTGCCCCTAATTTGATTTTTTAGGAATTAGGTCGTCAATGCCATTATACCAATAAGTTTGTTTCGTTATGAATTGCAGCTAACCTATGTATTATTACTGAAATAAAAGCAATGGCAAACATATTACTGTATTATAGAAACTAAATTAAAAACTAATTAGTGTAAATTATGATACCATCAAAATTATTTATCTTTGTTTCTTTTCTATTTGTTTACTCAGCGTACCATATTAATGTCCCAAGTATTGATGCTTTAGAAAAGTAAACGTGTTCGTGACAACTATACTCCTATAATATTATTACCTGATATTAAATATACACTACATGGATGCTGGCCCGTGAAGCAAAGATGTACTCCTATAACATGTTTATAATTTTATATACTTATGCATACTTACTCATTTATATCAATAATTTAAAATTTAAAACATCATCGTATATGAGATACTCCTCCGGTCCTTAATATAAGACCCATTTAACTAATTTGATTAGATTAAGGAAGTTAGGTAAGTTAGTTAATTATAAGAAAAGTGACACATTTTTCCTAAAATACCATAATCATCTTTCTTAATACCTTCTTTCCCTCTTCTACTTGATTATGGTTGATGGAGTATCCATAGGGGTAATTTAGAGAAAAATGATAAATATGAGAAATAGGTCTTATATTTAGGACCAAAACCAACTCAAGAATTGAGTCCTATATTAAGGACCGGGGGAGTATCATAATAAAGTCTAATACATGTAACCACACGGATGCTGGCCCATGAAGCAAAGATTTTATTTTGAAGAAGTAGAAATCGGAAAGCACATGTGGATTAGAATTGATCGTATATAGATACATATACATGATTTTTGTTATAATTTACACTTTCATTACACAGAGCAATCGATTTCTCGACCTCATATTTAAGAATTGTTATTAACCCTGTTTAAAAAAAATATGCATAGACTAAATTGAACTAAATTTGTTATCAATCTTGGTGTAATAACTAATAAGGACCTCAGGCTGAAAATAACAGCCCAAAGTCTGGTTTAGTCCAGTGCCAACTTGAGGTTGGGTTAAACTGAACTTGATCCATATGATTGCCTAAACTAGTCCAGGGAGACCAAGACTTCAATTTAATTTTTTTTTCAATGGGTCAGATTGGATTAGACCAAGTGTTTTAAAGGGTTAGTCCTCAGTCCAGTCCAACCCAACAGACCAGTTCGATCTAATCTTGCTTTGGGTCATTTTATTTTTTTTACTGGATTCGCTCGGATTGGATTGAGCCATACTGGACCACCAGGTTATTGTCCAGTTCTAGTAAAACACATTAAATGTATATAATGATTTTTGAAGTTACAAATTAAAAGAGGATTTTAAAATTTAAAAAAATAATTACATTAATTAATTAAAAATAAATTAACAATATATATATAGAACTGATAATATGGGTTAGACCCAGGGGCCCAACGCACCAACCCACCAAAAAAGAAGGGTTGGGTTTGGCTAAGAGTCAATCTACTAGTAAATGAGCCTTTTTAACTTGTACTGTCAAACCCGCAGCCCGTGGGGCGTGGGCTAACTCACATTTTTTTTTAAATTTTTTTAATTATTATAATTATATTATTATATATTATATCCTATCTAAAAATTTTTTAAAAATACTAATATAATTTATTTGGTGCCTTCAATCAAATACAAACTCGTGATAATGATGTAAACTCGGATCGTAAACTTGAATCGTGAACTCGTAAGAGTTTATTTTTATTAATAAACTAATATTAAAAGTATATAATCAAATAATTAATATATAAAAAATGAGAACAATTTCATTTAAATATATTTTAAATTTAAATAATTAAAATTATATCTATCAATGTTCATAATTTATAATATTTAACAAAGAAACTTCTATAAAAATCATATGTAAAATCACTAAACATAATCAAATTAAAAAATTTAGCACGAGTTTAAGAGTGAGTTGACACGATTTTATAAGCTAAAAACATAAAAACGGTAAACTCAATAAATGAACTTGTAAGTTTAACCGAGTTTACAGTTATCATGAGTTTAAGAACGAGTCAACACGATTTTGTTAGCTGAAAATGTAAAAATGTTAAATTCGGAGAGTCAACTCGCGAGTTTAATAACATTGGTTACATTGTTGATCTAAGAGAGCTAAGGGCACCTACCGCGTTAGCGGCCAAAGATTGGGCAGTTATAATAATATTCTCAGGGGACGGGGGGTCATTGGCAAAGATACATCTGTTGC